TGAGGCTTTTACAGTTTGTAAGGACTGTTGCAGGTCCTTCCGTGCCAGTCGCACTGGAGCTTGGCTGTCGCTTCATTCTTGCTTCCTATGCTGAAGTATTTCCCTAGTCTCTTTCCAAGGATACACGTCAGAGTACGGCTCCCAGTCCTCCACTGGAGGTGGGGGGGTGGGTAGGGCGAGCACCGTAATCTGAGTTATTCCTGGCTTTCCCCCTTTCAAATTCTGCACTTTCTTGTTGTGCTTATTCAGCCCTCTCTGCTGATATATATTACACAATAAAGATCTAAAGACCACACACACAAACAGCATGAACACAGTTTCTACCCAGTGGCATGACCTCACATAGCTGTGCACTCCACTAGTGAGTTCCACTGTTTCAATTGCCGAATCCCATCCTCATTGCCAATTAGGTTGTGAATGGCCTTGGGATTCGGCAATAATCACACAAAACAAGGTAGCTCTGGTGAGCCTCTATTCACGTGAAAGCACATTTTTAAAAAAGCAAAGTATGAATAATTACTCTGGAGGTAGTACTTCTCGGCAGGATACTGAGACTGAATGTTCTCTCGAGTTGGCGGATTAGAGGGTTGCTGACAGGCTCCTAACTCGTCGGGCATCCCTGCGGAGACAATGTAGGCCTCGATATTAGGAGCCTCACCCCCCGCCCCTCTCCGCAATGTCTTTTTATGCCCGATGCATCCTACCACGTAGGGCCAGTATGTGCCAGCAGGCAGACCGGGGGCGGACAAACTCCACCTTCCGTCACATAATCTTGGCTCCTGGGTGCACAGGTGTGCATACCAGTAAGGGGTCCCAGTCGTCAGTGTGAGGGTCCTGCCTTTGTCATCTCCCTCCCTCGCGGGTGTTTGACCTTCAAACTAGAGGATGTTTGCAGTTAAGTTGCCTACAAACCCAGTCGAGCAGCTGCCTTCAACTGCTTTTGGAGGAGGTCAGCTGTGAACCTGTCTGAGCAGCCACCTCCATGCTCCTTATCACTCAGCCCAGATGGGCAAACATCTTCTTTCTCATGATTCAGATTCTATTTTGCACAATAGTTTTATGACTATACAGATCATGCAAATTTCCACCTCCAATACATGCCACCCTGTGATCTGTAGAGGTCAATCTATTGTAGCGAAGGACTTGAACAGATAACGTTTTCATAGCAGTTTCAACCATACCTCATGTCAGCATCATTATACAAAGGATAGAACACATAATACAGACGAACATAGCAAATAGAAATAATAGCCCTAATAATGGTTTCTGTCCTTGCTTAACGCACTACAATTCTCCAACCCCCACTTTAAAAGATGGATCAAATCCCCAGGCTGGATATCCTTACCCCTCCCAGGTTTATCCAGGATATGCTGCATAACCAACAGCGCTCTGCAAGTCCCAGTCTGGATCTTCTGGCAACAGGGGCACATCCTCCCCCATCTCTTTCTCAGGCTGTAATGTCAGGGAGTGGTAAAGGCCTTTACTGGGGATCTCTTCATCATCTTCCTTCTCCTCCTCCTCAGGAGGAGCAGAGGGGAACACAGATTTGTTCAAAGCTTCCCACTCAGCCAGCTGCTGCGCAGGTGTTTTATAGAGAGGGGGTGAGAGTTCATTAAGAGACTCCCACCATTGCTGCACCTTTGCCTGCTTGCTGGGTGAGGGATACTTAATGACTCAGATCATCTTTATGGTCTGATGGCCCAGGGGTGCCAGTAGAGCACTGTAAAGCATCTATTTGCTCTGTGACAGCCTCTACAGGAGGGGGACACTGCCCCCAGCACCAAAACAACATTTGGTGTAACACATAGTCAGTAACTGTGATACCTCTGTGAGCAAGCGAAATTTTCCGAGTAGATAAGACTAGGGCTTCCTGCTTTGTCAGGTTTTGCCCTAGTCTCTATATGTCTCTATATGTCTCTATATTTCTGCTCTCCGTGGCGCACCTTTGAGAGGTGTCAGTCCCGTTCGCACCTTCAAGAGATGTCAATCCCGTTCCCAGCGGCTCACCTTCATAAGGAGTCAAATCACAGGTCCGGACCAGGCACCTTCCCTGCTGCTCTCAAGCTCTGCCAGGCTCCACCACCACCGCCAGTCGCCAGGCGGTCCACTTCTTATTATCATGTCGGGGTCACCCATTGTCGCAGTCGTGGTGGCCAAAAACACAAACTGGGGTAGATGCAACACAAACTATGCTTTATTGTTCTCTAAGTACATTATTGATACCAAGCTTTTCTTGTTGTGGCTGCTGCTTATTGGTGAGGACTACTAAGGACATTAACTAGTAACAGAGTTATGATTGGACGATTCTTAGCAGAAACTTGGGCCAGTTTCTGCTCCATGGCCAAAACCTCCTTAAACTTGTTAATAACTTTCTCCTGTCTCTGTGCGAACTCCCTATCTCATAGATACACTCTAATCTCTTCAAGGTTAACATTCTCCGCTAAGGGAGCCATGGATTCCAGAGACCATCCTTACAAAAGACCTCTGGAGGTCACTACCCAGCTGAATCACTCCGTGATTTTATGAATGGAAAGGACCCAGCCACAGACACAGAATCTGCCTCTCCCATAGGCTATCCACCAACAAACAACGAGGAGAGTGCTTTGCCAGGCCACACTCCTTTGCACCCTCAAGCTGTGATGTGGGACTCAGCCTGGATCTAGACTGGGTTGAGGCAAGGTCTCCACCAGTGGCCCATCTCCTCAAAGAGAGAAAATCCCAGCATTCCTGGTTTGGAGGTGTTATCAAAGCAGGAGCTTGAGCCTGACTGGCCTCATAACCTTGGCCCTCCCAGCACAGCCATGGTATCCCAAGCAGGGCTGCTCATCCTGCACACACACTCCCCATCACCCCAAGCCTGATCCCAGTCCTGCAGTGGCCAGCTGCCCTGACCTGGACCAGGTCCAGCTCTCTGGGAGGGAGTGTGTGTGAAGAAGTAATCTGGGTGGCTGGATTGTGGGCAGTTATGGCCCTTCCAGGACAGGAAGTTCAGGCAGAGGCAAGACTCACTGCCTGAATTGGCTAGAGTCCCAGCATAGTGAGAAGTGGTAGGACCAGGATCTTGGCAGTGGCTGACAGGCTGTTCCAGGTCCTCCTGCACTGCTGGTTCCTGTGATATGGGGAGAGGGGATGGGATATGAGGCAGTGTGGGGTGACAGCAGGGGCAGGGGGAGGTGGAGACTGCAGCAAAAGGTCTTGAATGGTGTTTGTCAGTGGCACTCACACCAACAGTTCCTGACTGTAGGGGTGTGTGTGTCAGCTGTCCCATCAGTCTTCCGGCTGGGCCTAGCCCCACTGGAGCAAGGATACAGAGGACACTCTCTGTCCTTTGTTCTTTTGCCCAGGGAGTTCCCTACCCCCAGACTGACTGCAGTCTCCCCATGCCAGTCCCTCTCTTCAGAATAGCATGGGAGTCCCGGCTCTGGAGATCCTCAACTGCCTTCTGCTGACCCAGTAACGTAGCTTGCCCTTAGTTGACCTACATGGTAACAGTTTTCTCTATTCTTAAACCTTGCAAGCACAGAATTGCTCCTTTCCTCTTCTCCAGGGATGTCCCTACTCTAGAGAGAGCTTTTCCCCAAAAAATGTAGCAGTGCAGGCAAGCCTGGATGTTCTGGACCCTCTCTTGTGCTCCCTGCAGGACTCTGAGCTGGTGGTGCTGCTCTGCAGAGTGAGTGGGATGTGGTGCCCCAGAAGATTGGGGTGACTCCACACTGGCAGTGGTGGTCAGGGTTAGAAGCAGAGCCAAGCAGAGCTCCCAAACTCTTGTTAATGCACCAGGTCATGGGAAGCCCCTGGACAGGGGTCTGTGGCCATGGATGGTGATCTGAGCAACAACTGGGCATTTCAAGTGGCTCAGGCTGTGTTCAGATGTGTCCATAGACCCAGCACGTGGTTTTTCAACGAAAGTGACATGAACCACTCTCCAGGCTCCATTCCTTCTGTCTGAAGGTTTCCCATTATGTGCATCTGTCACCAGCCCTGTTATATGGGAGACAGTCCCAGGCAGGTATCACTTGAATATGTAGCACCTCTGTAAGCACTGTGCACCCATGAGTGAGAGCTGAATCAAGCCTTCATTCCATAATACATTATTGCATGAGTTCAATGTCTTGAGCCCGTGCAGAACATTGGAAAAACAACAGGCCCTTTCATGGTGAAATTCCTTGAGGCAACTCTTGGCTCTGGTATTGCAAAAAGAGCCCAATCTTCAAGCACTACGTTGAAGAAATCCCCTTGTATTACAGATAGACCATTTATGATGCAAATATAGATAGATTTACAGAAGCCCTCAGGGTCAGACAGACAGAATATATGCCTCTGGCGGAGTGGGAGGATTGCATAAATATTATTATTACAGAGAGAATGCCCAAAGTCCAAGAGTTGTCTGAAATAATTTAGATACCACTTGTGAGATGAGCAGTTTATTGCTGCTGAAGTAGTGCCACTTGAATCAATTTCTTCAGTGCCTTCTTGAGCTCCTTGTTCCTCATACTGTAGATGAGGGGGTTCACTGTTGGAGGCAGCACTGCATACAGAACAGCCATCACCAGATCCACAACTGTGGAGGAAATGGAGGGGGGCTTGAGGTAGGCAAATGTGGCAGTGGTGACAAAAAGGGAGACCACAGCCAGGTGAGGGAGGCACATGGAAAAGGCTTTTTGCCGTCCCTGCTCAGAAGGGATTCTCAACACAGACGCAAAGATCTGCACATAGGACAGCACAATGAAAATGAAACACCCAAAGAATAAACAGATACTAAATATAAGAACCCAGACTTCCCTTAGGTAGGCATCTGAGCAGGAAAGCTTGAGGAGCTTGGGAACCTCACAGAAAAACTGCTCCACAGCATTACCTTGGCATAGGGGTATTGAAAATGTGTTTCCAGTGTGTAGGGCAGCATTGAGAAAACCACTGGCCCAGGCAGCTGTTGCCATTTTGCCACAAGCTCTGCTGTCCATTAGGGTCCCATAGTGCAGGGGTTGACAGATGGCAACAAAGCGATCATATGCCATGACTGTAAGGAGAGAAAACTCAGCTGAAATCAAGAAGAAAAACAAAAATACCTGGGCAACACATCCTGAGTAGGAAATGGCCCTGGTATCCCACAGGGAATTGGCCATGGATTTGGGGACAGTGGTGGAGATGGTGCAAAGGTCAAGGATGGAGAGATTGAGGAGGAAGAAATACATGGGGGCATGGAGGTGGTGGTCGCAGGCTATGGCTGTAATGATGAGGCCATTGCCCAGCAGGGCAGCCAGGTAGATGCTCAGGAAGAATGAGAAGTGAAAGAGCTGAAGCTCCCGCGTGTCCGAAAACCTCAGGAGAAGGAAGTTGGTGAGGGAGCTGCTATTGGACATTTTCTGCTTTTATGTACAGGGAACTGTCCAAGGAGGAAAACACATTGACAAGTTAGGACAGGCCTTTTTTTTTTTTTTTTTTTTTTTTTGTACAATATGCACACCTTATAGCAAATCCCCTCACTTCCTCTCTCCTTACTGCGAAGACTGTTCTTTAGCTCCCTTACTTGAGCTCTGGTTCCTGCTTTTTGAGTGTGCTGTTAGGAACAGGGTCCTTTGTTCACAGATTCCAGAGCAGTCAGAATGCCTTGTTACTCACATACTCCAAATCACACCTCCCAGGCATGCTGGTCAGTAGTTGTCTGATGGCAGAGGGTCTTTGAAAATCATGTTGTTAGCTGGTTTTGGTGATACTCAAAATGCGCTCTTTTGCTCAGTTCTTCTAACTCAGCTGACTGTGGATCTACATGACCACCTAGCACATACATAATACACTGCTGTTTTAAAAACCGATGGGCTATATTTGCATTAATGATCCCCTGCTCTCTCTCCATGCACGGGAGGAACATAGGCACATGAAGGCAGGGGTGAAACAACCCATTGCAGGTCTCTGTTCCACCAAGATAGATCATGTTCTTACAACGTATATCATGCACACTATTTCTGTAGTCATAATAAGAGTTGGAGGGTTAGGGGAGATAGGCAAGCTCTGTATCCACATCCTCTCTCAAATTAAGCCAACTTATAATGGAGAATGGCTCTTCATCCTGTTATACATTTATTTAATTTATAGATGCACTCACCACAGATCACATTTCTTTGAGGAATAGAAATCTTTGGCTTTTCCATTACTAACAACCTGAACACTAGAAAATCCCATGCAGCTAGACTGTTTGAGCTAGTGTGTTGTCCAAAATATGATGTCTCCTTAGGGAGACCTGGTGCATTCCCCAGCACTACAGACTGCATTGCCCAAAAATCCACAGGCTGGAAAGGGTCTTTTATTTTTTGTTCTCACCTCCAAATGAGCACACAGGAAAGCCTTCATCATACTGAATTGTGCCCCCTACCTTACAGAAGAGGTTTTGTTCTCAGCCAGTGTCAAAAATCCCCTGTCCTGAAGATCAGGCTGAAGAGGTGATGGCTCATGCTCTGGAAGCCCTGGCCTTGAGAGCATAGCATCTGCTGGATGAAAGAGATGCAGGGTGGCATCTCAGGAGAAGGTCTCTGCATTGCAGGAACATCTGGGAGTTACCCAAATCCACCCTTTTCTGTTAGGCGTTTACTCCTTCTCATGTATAAGATGTCTGCATGCCTGGTCTCTATCCCAGGGGCATCTCCATGTTTGCAGTTGCTAAGGAGCAGCCAAGATCAACTCTGAGGATGCTAATAAAGATTATGGTGATGCTGCTCATAGACAGAGGGGTGGCCAAAGGGATTTGCTGAAGTTCCATGCAGAACTTTTCATCTGTCAATGTAACAGCTTAGGAGTTGGAGCTTCTTCTCTAAACCCAACAATTTGGTTTCCATTACAGCCCTGTCAAAAGAAGGAAAGCTTAAGCACAAACTCAGGAAGGAAA